TTTATTTTGCAACACGTAGTTTTTTGAAAAAAATGGAAGTTACAATGAAAAATATTTAACGACTTATAACAACAAAACTCCAAGAACAAAAAAATATATATTCTTAAAGAAACTGACAAACTTCTGAAAAACCAAGAAGTGACATTTACAAATATTATAAGCTCAAATCTGAAAAGTATCACGGATAGACTTGATAAACTCGAAAGCGAAATTAACAACAACAAATCAAAAACTTCAAACTTAGAAAAAAACTTTAGAGATATCAAAGAAACTTTTAAATTCCAAGAGGAAAACTTCACAAATAAACTAGCACAAATGAGCCGAAAGTGTAATGATGAAAATAGTATATTAAAAAAGAAGACTATAGATTTGGAAAATAGATCACGTCGTAACAATCTAAGAATTGACAGAGTAGCCGAATCTAACTCAGAAACATAGAATGACTGTGCTAGCATAGTCAAAAGTATTTTTAAAAACCAATTGGGAGTTGCGGAGGACATAGTAGTTTAGAGAGCCTATCAAGTAGGACAAGTAGAAGAAAACAAGCCGCGATCGATAATTCTCAAACTTTTAAATTTTCATGAAAAAAACATAATATTATCTTTAGCAAAAAAAACTTAACGGCAGTGGAGTATTCATAAATGAAGATTACGCAATGAACGAAAAAAACTTTAGGAAGAAATAAAAAGATACTGAAAAGAAGGTCAATTTGCAGTTAACAAATTTGATAAAATTTTTGTACGAGAGTTTCGGAAATAAGTTAAATGCTTAACCTCAATTTTGTAAAAATAAATTCTTAATCATGCGCAATGGCTCAAAAAACAATTAACTTAAAAACGAAACAATTAAATTTTTTTGAATCTGATAACAACATTTTACTTAACGACTTTTATGACGCAGTAAACAACTTTTTAAAGGATTAGATTTTAGCTTGCAAACTTTAATGTTTAAACTTTTAAAACGCAATTAAAAACAGATATAAAAAATTTCATGGTGATACACGTTAATATCAGAAGTTTAAATTTAAATATAGACAAACTGAAACACTTTCTTTTAGAATACAATTTTTTATTTAACATAATTTGTCTCACAGAATCATTATTTGATGAAAAGTCAGCTCAAAAAATCAAATTTTTAGATTCCTAATTATAAAATTATTTCATCTGAGAGAAAAACGCTCAAAAGGGAAGGTGGAATTTTAGTTTACATTCATAATGACCACGATATCAAAATAAGAAAAGACTTCTCGATCTCTAATTCAGACAGTGAGGTCTTAACAATTGAGATAATAATTAAAAATACAAATAACATTGTAGTTTCTACTTGTTATAGACCACCTGACGGCGATGTTATTCAATTTTCAAAATATCTGCAACAAATTTTTATAAAAAACAATAATGAGCAAAAAAGATTATTCTGCATCGGTGACATTAACATTGGTAGTTTAAAATACAATGAACACCATTTTACTAAAATCTTTTTTGACAATATATTTTAACACGGTCTTTTCTCAATCATTAACAAACCAAATCGTGTTACAACAACTTCCATTAGTGATATAGAGAATTTCCTAACTTCTAACTAACTCTTTTCTAGATAAGTCCATAAAAACACGAATAATCAAAACTGATATTTCGGACCACTTTCCAATTTTCTTTTATTTTGCTGAACATGCAACCATAAATTAAAATTCTAAAATCAAAGTCTTGAAACGAAAAATGAATAAACATTCTATGCTTAAATTTAAAGAATCTTTATCAACAGTAAATTGGATAAATGTATACCAAGAGCAGGGGCGGATCTTGGAAAAATATTGATTGTAACAAAAATAAAACCAGAGGACCACAGCAACAGTGGCGTGGCTAGGTGACAGAGGACCTTCTTTTTTTTTAAAGATTATTCTTTTTTCAACACAACTGCTTAGCAAGTTAAATGAAATATTTAAATTGTAAAAAAATACCAGAAATGATGGTCAATTATCTTAATCCAAAACCAACATCACATTTTTTACAACAAAAAATTTATACAAATTTTTAATTTAAAATTATTTCAATTTTTAAACCTTCAAAAATGTTATTTAAAACCTTTTCAACTTTTCTTTAAAAATGTTTCAACTAATATAAAATTATTAACTATAGGCAAAATTTTGATTGCAAAAACTTAGTGATGAAAATTTCCGCAAAATTTCCGGAAATTTTCAACCATAATATTTTGCGGAACAAGTAACAGAAGCAATAAGAAACAAACAAATTAATAGTTTGTTTGTTCTGATACTTCCCAGCAAACACAAGACGTCTTTAAGACCGTCTTACTTAGGTCTTTAAATGGTCATGTCATAGAAAGACGTCTTCAAGACGTTTAATATCCAGTTTTTTAAATCCTTTTTTTGGCGTTTATCTAAATTTTCTTATATACGTCTTAAAGACATCTTTAAAAAGACAAGAAAATATTTGCTTGGTTTCGTATGACGTCTTTAGTGCGTCAATCTTTTACTTTTGGTATAATATTTTAAATAGCCCTTTTTAAAACGTCTTAAAAACGTCTTCACTAAGACTGCATTGGCGTGATAATATTTCGTGTATCATAAACTTAATAAGTTTTTTTATAAAGTTTAAAAGTTTTCTTTGACTTACGTTTGATTTCTAAACTTCGACTTTTATATCTTTTTTGACATTATTCATGGAAACTGAAAATCGAATGAAGCGTCGTCGCCTGAATAAATGTCAGATTTTATAACGACACAAGATGAAGTTATCGATATTAGCACTAATATGAATCGTGAACGTAATGCTTCTTATGAGCACGAAACACCTTGTGAAGCCCCTGCTAATATTCAAGAAGAAAGTGGAGAAACAAATTTATCTTTGAGTTATAATTATGAAAATTTTGAATGTTTTAATGCACCAACACTATTAAAAACAGAAACATTATCACAAAGTTTGGCAAAGTGGTCGTCAAAAAGTAACATTTCTTAAAGTAATTTAAAGGAACTTTTGAATATTCTCGGAAGGCATGGTCATTCAGAGTTGCCAAAAGATGGAAGATCTCTTTTAAAATCCTCTAAAGTTTTTACAGTAGATAGGAAGTGTGGCGGAACTTATGCATATTATACCATTGCTGATGGCTTAAATTATTTTTTGAATACCAAAAAAGATTCTCAAAATACTGAATTATCTGTTTCTGTTAATGTTAATGGACTACCTCTTTTTAAATCTTCTAACCTTCAACTATGACCAATACTTGGTTTAATAGAGAACTATATTTTTATAATTGCACTTTTCTGTGGGAATGGTAAACCAACCTGCTTAGATGATTTTCTCTATGATTTTATCAAAGAATTTTTATTTTTATCTAATGAAGGTTTATACTACGATAATAAAAAAAATAATGTTAAACATAAAGCATTCATATGTGATGCACCTTCTTGTTGTTTTCTTAAATGTATACAAGGTCATACAGGATATTACTCTTGTGAAAGGTGCCAAATTCAAGGATTATATGAGGATCATAGAGTGGTTTTTATTGATGAAAACCTATCAACTCCAAGATCAACTGAGGAGTTTAATACCTTATTGTACACTAAACATCAGAAATCTCTTTCTCCTTTAGCTCAACTTCAAATATCTTGTGTTTCTGATTTTATTTTAGACTATATGCACATATCTTGTTTTCCTTTTGAAAATTATATGCAAACATTGAAAAAAGAAGTGAAAAATTCAAAGAGTCAGGTTGTTCAAATTACAAAACAAAATCAAAATTTACAATATTTATTTAATACAAAATCTCAAAAACTAAATATTTGAGTGAAGCTGAAATTCATGCTTATATCTGAAAGAAAATCAATTTTGTTTTATTGACAAGAAATTAACATCTGGATTTTTTAAATGTAGAGTATTTAAACTTGATTTACAAAGTGATTTATATGCACAACTGATTCTGTCTAACCTTTAAAATTTTTCTTGATACCAAAGATTAATCAAATAAAAGTAAAAGTGGTTGTGTTAGGAGTTGAAAGTCTCTGCCGAAAGGTTGTTGCTCTACCCTGAAAAGAAGGTCTTGCGTGGTTTCCTTTATTGCATGAAATAGAACATTAATGAATCATAATTATTTGATTGAAACCTATTTAAATACAATTTTTTGTTTGTTTATACTTTACATTTATTATTTAATAATTTGCATCTTACCTCAAATGGTTATTAGTGAATCTTATTATGTTAATTATATATATATATATATATATATATATATATATATATATATATATATATATATATATATATATATATATATATATATATATATATATATAATATATATTATATACATAAAAAATAACTATTATATATGTAATATATATTGTATAATAATTATATATATATAATAAATAATATATTATATACATAATATATTATATATATAATATATTATATATATAATGTATTATATATATATATATATATATATATATATATATATATATATATATATATATATATATATATATATATATATATATATATATATATATATATATATATATATATATATATATATATATATATATTTCTATAAATTTTTTTTTTTAACTCTTATTTTCTGACTTTTCCTCTTTTTTTGTTTGCTTGTTAATTACATGTTATATTTATTAACAAAAATAGACTTTTTTTGTTGAGATTATTGTAACTTTATTTAAAAATCTATTTTAATGCAATTATTGAAATATTTTTCAAATACTCTTTAAATTAAAATCAGTAAATAAAAATAATAAAAAATGATAACGTGAAACGTTAAAATTAAAAATTGTTAAAGATAATACTTTTTTTAAATATTGTTTCTATTTTGTTGCCTACACAAACTTTAAAACTGCACAGACGGACATTTATTTTAATACCTTTTTTTTTGTTTGGTTTTTGTATAATTTTTGAGACAACTTAATGCTCTTCTTTTTCATTATATACATCGTTAAATACCTAGTTGTTTTTTAAATATCTTTTCATTCCTTTATAAATTGTTTAAATTAAAGTTTGTTATAGCAACTATTTTTTTATTACTCCAAGTTATAGTAAGAATGTTTTGTATTAGGTTTTTGGTTACAATTGTAACAATATAATTAATTTTTCCATTATGATTTATTTTTCAACCATCATGATTTGGGCAAGAGCTGTATGGATAGAAAATTATGAGGAAATAGAAGATGTTGTGCCAAGAAGGTGGATAAATACAGAAAAAAAAAATACTATTTTGGCCTTCTGGTATATCTTATCATAGAGCTGTCAATGATGAAATGGATGCAGATGAAACATGGGGCAAATATAAACTTTTCAAAATCAAATTTGAGAGTGGTATGAGATTAGATATAAAACACACACATGAATATATTTATATTTATATATATATATATATATATATATATATATATATATATATATATATATATATATTTATATATATATATTTATATATATATATATATATATATATATATATATATATATATATATATATATATATATATATATATATATATATATATATATATATATATCTGAATAAACTATGTAAGTACTATTAAATAACTCTTTATAATTAATATATACTGGAAAAATATCTGATATTTTTATTTATTTTATAAGATTTATTGTTCTTTTAGATAATATAAATGAGCTGAAAGAATATGGTTACATAACAGCAGCAGAGGAGGAGGATGAAATAGATAATTGTTTTACAAGTTCCAAAGGTACATTTAAAGTGAAAAGTAATGTTCATGGTATAATTAAAAATTTGCTTACAATTTATTTTTAATATCAAATGTAAATACAATAACAAAAATTAATTATATAGATATTATATTTTAGAGTTACCAGATTTTCTGTTGCCTCCACCAGTTTTGCAATCCATACCAACAAAATCATTAAAGAGATCATTTGATTTTAATTTGTCACCTGGATCAATTATTTTAAAACAATCAAATATTTGTTCTGGTATCTAATAATTATTAAATTATTGAAATTTAGAATTAATTCAATTTGCAACACCTTCAATCTAAAATATTTCTGGATTCTTATTTTTAGCTTTGTCTGACTCTTTACCTTTACACACAGAGGAACAATCAACTTCATATTCTGAGTCACTGTGTTAGTATTATTTTTAAATTTTATAATTAAAGTTTTTGTTTATTAAGATTGAAATATTATTTTGTTGTTAATTTTAGCTTTGCCTAACTACTTTTTACCTTCAAAATCAACTGAAAAGGAACAATCAAATTTTTTTACAGGTACACTGTCTTTGATTATTATTTTACATCTAAAAAATGTTGTTTAAAATTTTTTCTTTTATTTTAATTTATTTTTTGGCATTATGAGGTGAAACCCTCATACTCAAGAGTTCAAAAAAAAAGAAAACAAAAGAAGTACAAAAAAAAAACTATGATTGAAGCCCTTGGACCAGAGAAGTTACTTAAAAATCAGTTTCCTATGGAAGTTGGAAGTAAGCTCTTTTAACCATTTAATTTATTTTTTATTTGCAATAAAATGTGGAGACTGTGCACACATTTTAATTATTTTAGAAATGACTTTTGTACAAAAAACAATAATTTTATAAATAATTTTTTTCTGTATGTATATATATATATATTTTTTTTATTTGCATTCACTCCCAACAAGGCTGCAAGCAACCACTATTAAGTTGGGAGTTACTAGTAAAAAAAAGAACAGAGTTATAGAGCAAGGAAATGGTTGACAGAAGACTTGAAAAGTTGAAGGTTGTATGAGTCAGGAAAACATGAAGATGGGAGAGAGTTCCAAAGGATTTAAGTGCGGGGAAAAAAACTAGATGAATAAAAGTTTTTAGAGCATGCAGGGACAGATACAGTAAACGAATGAGACTTAGCTGAATGACGAGTAAAACGAGAGTGATTTTTAGTTGATGGAACAAGAGATGATAACTCCTTTGAGCAGTGACCATGATAGTATTTGTAGAAAAGAGAAAGAGATGCAACTTTACGACGATGGGAAAGAGGTTCAAGCTTAGCAGATAGTCCAGGCCCAACAACATTTACAATGTGTTTTTGGACCTTGTCAAGAAGAGAAAGTGAATCGTTAGAAAGAAGAACCAGCCCAAATATGACAACAGTATTCCATACAGGGACGAAAAAGAGATTTGTAGAGGTAGAGAATGGAATCAGAAGTAAGGAAATGGCGAGCACGATAAAGAGAAGCAACCTTAGCAGAAGCTAATTTAGCAATCGATTGTATATATTGTTTCCATGAAAGGTCAGTAGTAAGCGATAATCCAAGAAGACGTAAAGAGGAGAACTCAGTAAGAGGATTGCCATTCATTAATATAGGAATGTTGACCATATTACGGTAGTTGTTTGCAGTAAGCAGTTGGGTTTTTTTAGAGTTGAAATTCACAAGCTACTGTGAAACCCAATCTATTACTGAAGTGAGATCAGATTCAAGATCAGCTGCTTGTTCTAGGCGATTGAAAAGAGAAGACTTTTTGTCAAGACAGGAGTATAAAGTTGAGTCATCAGCAAAAAGAGCTACTTTAGATGAAAGGTTGTCAGGAAGATCGTTTATGTAGATAAGAAACAAAACAGGGCCCAGGATGGAACCTTGGGGAACCCCAGAAGTTACTGGAAATAAAGAAGAGTGTTGGCCTTCAAGGATGACTTTAATAAACCGGTTAGAAAGAAATGATTTGATAATATCAAAAACTTTCCCAGAAACACCATATGAAGCAAGTTTATGGAGAAGACCAGCATGCCAAACTTTGTCAAAAGCTTTAGATATGTTGAGAACAATAGCCCTAGCCTCACCGCCTCCATCTAATGCACGATAAAATCTTTCAGTTACAGCTGTTAGCAAGTCGGCTGTAGAGCGAGAGGATTGAAAACCGTGTTGATTGTCTGACAGTAGTTTATTTGACTCAAGATGAGATGTGAGGAATTTGTTGATCAAAGACTCAAAGACCTTGCTAATAACAGAAAGAAGACTGATCGGACAATAATTGGAGGGGTCAGAATTTTCTCCAGAGTTTTTGAATATTGGAACCACATATGCCATTTTCCAACAAGCAGGAAAACAAGACTCAGTCAAACACTTGTTAAATAGTTTAGAGAGAATTGAAGAGAGTTCTGGAGAACAATTCTGCAAGACTGTGACAGGAATGTTGTCTGGACCACAAGCTGTAGACGAGTTTAATTGAGATATGACTTTAGCAACAGAAGCCGGAGTGATTTGAATTCCTAACAATGGGTCAACCTGTTTTACTGGAATGGAAGGAAGAGAATGTCCATAAGATTCAAGAGTGGAAAAGTTCTTTGCAAAGAGAAGAAAAGTTCTTTGCAAATAGTTCTGCCTTATCCTTGGGAGAGGTAATAAGATCAGTCCCATGAATGAGAGATGGAATGTTAGATCTACCCTTGTTAATAATGCTGTTGAAGATTTTCCAAAAGTCTTTAGAGCCTAACTTCTGCGATAAGATGCGAGATTTAGTGAACTGAGAATAATGGAGTTTAGCATCAGAAAGCACCTTTTTACATCGATTTCTTGCAATAATAAATAGCTGTTTGTTCTCAAGAGAGTTGTTCTTTTGAAAAAGATGAAAAAAATGATTACGATTGGATATAGCAGCCGCACAAGAAGGAGAAAACCATGGAGTAGAATGAGGCTTAACTTGAAACCGACGCGAAGGAATAAAAGCTTCCATTCCAGCCTGAATCCAGGAGGTTATGTAGAAGGCGCATTTGTCAGCTGAGAGAGAAAAAACATCAGCCCAAGGACCATCACGAAGAAAATCACGAAAGGAATCCCAGTCAGCTTTAGGGTAGTAGTAGGTGGTGCGATGATAAGGTGAGCCCAAAAAAGAAGTACGAGAAGAAAGATTTATAGAGATCATTGCATGGTCAGAACCACCTAAGGGAGAAAAGGGAGAAACTGAACATAAGCTAGGGTCAGAGACAAGACATAAGTCAAGGAGTGAAGGTAAATGATTAGGGTTGTCAGGAAAACGAGTCACAAAGTTAACTATCTGAGTAAGAGATTGAGAAATGCAGAAGTTAAAGGCTTTAGTGCCAGTAGGATCAGTGGTGTTAGAGCCAAGCCATTCAGTGTGATAGGCATTAAAATCACCAACAGCAACAATATTGGCAGAAGGGTAAAGAGAGAGGGCATGGTCAATTTGATCAGAGATAACATCTAAAAGAGTGCAATCATGGGAAGAATGAGAACAATAAAGAACAAAGAGAAAGGTGATAGAGTGAAGAGGTGCTAGGCGAAAGCACATAAAAGAATGGTCAAAGGATTCGAACCTGATTTCACGACAAATAGGGGAATTAATGCATATGTATACCCCTAAACCTAGTATGTGACAATTTGAGTCTTTACGAATCAAAGGATAGTAGCCATCAACACTGACATCTGAAGAAGGAATTGCAGAATTTAAATTTGTTTCGCTTAGTGCAAGCAAGTCTGGTGAATTTTGCAGGAGGTAAGACTCAACTGATGGAAAGTTGCTTCGTAGACCACGAATATTTGTAAAAGATATATTAAAATATTTAGGTGGTGGGGATGGTTTTTTAGGTTTTAAATTTTTGGTTACTTTGGTCATGATTTAGGTTTAATGAGAACTTGACTCATTCATAGATAGAGCACAGCCTCCTAATCAATGAGCTATGCAGTTGTCTCAGTCCTGTTAATTAACCCTAAGCCGTGACATAGGACTCCTTATGTGGCCTCGACAATGCACACCAAAAGCATTAACAGGGACACCATCCATGCGCAACATGGCACTGTTAATACTCATATTTTGCAGCTGTTGATGGAATCAGCCTCTCTGAGAGCTACCACAGAGTTCAGGAAACCTTACTACCAGCCGGCCTCAGAACCATTAAACTGAGTTTTAGAGCTGCGCCCTCATATGGAGATAACAGGAAGAGTTGCATAGCCATTATCAAGGAGGCATAAGCAAAACTCTATGAGTAGAGTCAAGGAGATCCAGTATACATCATCCTAGGCAGGAAACAATGTAACACAGGTTACATCTACGCCAGCCTAATAGATGAAGAAGGGGTTCGAGGCTGGTTAGCAGAATTTTTCTGCTTACCTCTAAAGTCTTTGCCTAGGAGGCCTTCTACAAGACAGTAGCTGGATGCAGTTAACATCTGCCCAAGATGAGTATTTTTATCGAGACACCATCTCTAGCCTTTACTCAACCAAGAGCCCCAAGGCAGGGGATGTTTAGCTGGATGCAGTTAACATCTGCCCAAGATGAGTGTTTTTATCGAGACACCATCTCTAGCCTTTACTCAACCAAGAGCCCCAAGGCAGGAGAATTTTTAGTCGGAGTTTATTTCTCCTAGCCTTTGCATAAGAAGAGCACACTCTGCAAGGCAGCAGGGCTTGTGGCAGGTAGTACTGGGTTACGTGATACCAGTAGCAAGATTGATCTCGATTATCCTGACCTGACCTGGAGTAGTAAAAAAGGAGTTACTTCCCGCAACAGTACTTTGAGAAAACCAGGCATGGCATTAGGAAAACCACTACATCTAACAAAATAAAGGAGTCTAAGGTGTAGGTTTTGTAGTTGGAGTAAGTAGTTAGTTACTGAGCTCACGCTGCATATAAGTATAAGCAGAACACAAACAAACATAAATCAACTTACGGGTGAGCCAACACTGCGCCAAGGGTTCAGACAGAACACAGACATACATAAAGAACATAAAGTAACTTACGGGTGAGCGAACACCGCGCCAGAGGTTCAGAAAGAACACAAACATACATATAACGTAGATTACAGGTGAGCTAATACAGTAACTAAGGCACCTCCAACTATATGAAAAAAAAAAAAAAAAAAAAAATTCTATAGGCATGACTGATATAAGATACTGATGTACAGGAAGATATATAGGCATGACTGATATAAGTACTGATGACAGGAAGAACACTCCTTCCAGCCTTTGCTTAGAAAGCAAATCCTGCAAGGCAGCAGAACATGGAACAGGTTGCACTGGGTTACATGTTACCAGTAGCAGGATGATCATGAAGACCATACTCCTGACCTGTATATATATATATATATATATATATATATATATATATATATATATATATATATATATATATATATATATATATATATATATATATATATATATATATGTATATATATATATATATATATATATATATATATATATATATATATATATATATATATATATATATATATATATATATATATATATATATATATATATATATATATATATATATATATATATATATATATATATATATATATATATATTGTATAATTTAGAATACCAGCATATGATGTTCAAGATGGTATCAAAAATTCTTAAAAATCAGGAGCTAATTATTGCTGTAAATAAACAACCCATAGTAATTTGGCAGTTAAGCAATTAGTGACTAGCAGAATACAAAGATTTTGTCAAATATTTAGAGGATGATTCAGTTCGCCTTGATTTGGTAAATACTTTGTCTTTACATATTGAAAATATTTACATATTGAAAACCTTGTAAATTTAAAATAATTATTTTAAATAATTTTGTTATTTTGGTTTTGATTTTTTTTTTATTTAGGTTAAACAACTGAGTTTTTTAGGCGCAGTAGATTATAAACAGCTGACAAGATTGGTTATGAATAGGTTTTTCTAATTATATTTTTATGAGCAATAATATTTTTTATTTTTCTGTTGTAAATATATATTTTAAGTATAGTAGTTATTGCAACAAATAATTACATTGGGATGGTAAATTGTTTATTTTTCATAATTTGTATTACTTATTCCTTATGTTATATAGATTATTTACAAATACCCTATTGGCACAGTTTAATTTAAAAGGTTCTGGTAGAAAAATTGATTTATTATCAACGAAGCTATATGATGTATTAGAAGGTAATAAAAAATAGTTTTAATATAATAAAAATTTTTATCATTTAGTATTTGATTAAAAATGTATGATAAGTTAAAATTATTTTTAAGATTTTTGATAGTCAAAATTTTTTATTTTCTTCCAGTTTTTTACCTCCCCAAAGCCCAAGGGGGTCACTACAGTCGAAGAGGCTACTAATTTTTTTTATTTTTATTGTAAATCGTGGTACAACCCTCTCTCAACTCTTTAACTCCGAAACACGAACCTTGACAAGCAAGGCCGCTGCACGGAGAAATTAAGTTGAGCGCGGTACTTACAGAGATGCGGTGGTAGTCGAACTTCGAACCTCTTGCATACAAAGCATACAAAGCGAGCGCTCTTACCACTACACCACTGCCGCATAAATTATGTGGCATGTTTACATTTTATTATTTAGCAAGTTTTTGTAAATTTTAATTTATTTTTAGAAGTTGTAACAAGAAGGTTTGGAAAAGTTTCAAATTCTGATATAAGACAGCAAATCGGAAGATATTGTAAAAATGCTCCATCGCGGAAAAATAGAAACTAAAATTTATTTTTTATCGTATATATTATATGTTATATACATTGTTATATAGAAAGATACTTTATTAAAATCCATCAAATTGTATTATATGTCCCTTTTAACTTTTTTTTTTTTAATTTTATTAATTAATTTATTTTTTTAAAATTTATTTTTCCTCTATATTTATGTTTCTAATAAATGCGGGATTAATTTTTTCTAAACTAAACACCTAAAAGTCTTCTAAAATAAGACTTCTTGAGTAAAACGTTTTTAAAGCGCTTGGGTATGACGTTTTTAATCTGTCTAGAGTAAGATGACTTTAAGCTTTGAGTAAGATATCTTTTCGACGGACAACCTAAACCTTTTTAAGACATCTTTAAGACGTCTTGAAAATAAAACGACTTCAGACCGTTAAATTAAGACGTTTTAAATCGGTCTTTAGTAAGACGTTTTTAAGCAATCTTAAGTAAGACGTCTTTTCGACGGACAACGTATACCTTTTTAAGATATCTTTAAGACATCTTGTTTAATCTTAAAAAGACGTTTTTAAGACAGCTAAAAGATGTCTTTTTGTTTTCTGGGTTGTTCTGCAAATTATTAGGGTTGAAAATTTGCGTAAATTTTCAACACTAATAATACGTTATTTAGTTTTTGAAAAACTAAATAACGTATTATCGAGTTTACAAAAATCGTTAAAATTTCAGCTCAATTTAACCGATAGCGATAGTGTAAAAATGTAACTGGTAGCGATACAGGTAGACAAGGCCTCCCTATGTATAGTTCTTGCCTGCAGATCTTCCTATAATTGACATTTTTAATTACTGGGCTGTAGTAACAGCGTAAAAAAAAAATCAATTCAAAAATTTCAGAGGCACCAAAAATCTAACTTATAGTTCTGTACCTCAGAAGTCAAATGTCGGTTGTCACGTTTTAGAAATTGTTCAGGAGGGCGCGAAACAAACTTTAGTTTAGCGTAAATAAAAGAAATCATTAAAATATACATTAAAAATTTTTTTATTAGGCAACATTTTTGAAATGGACTTAAAAGTAAAAAATAAATATATATAAAAAAACTTTGTTTCACATTGTCGTAGGACAACAGTCTTTATACCTCTGTGTTGATACTGAAAAAACTAAAATTTTAGTTTTTATCCAATAAGAATCCAATTTTTTGTGAAAATGAGTTATGTATGAGACCTTTAAAGGTCTCATACATAACTCATTTTCACAAAAAAATTGGACAACCGACCTTTGTCTACTGATTTACAGAATTACATTAAAAATAATAAACAATAAAAAAAATGTTTTTGATACTTTCAATATTAATCTAGCTGGCATGATAGTCAAAGTTTAATAGTATGAAAAATAACATCAGAGCAGTTATAAAAAAGAAGAACTGATAAAAGTAGCTCCTGTGATTTAACGCACGTTTTTTACAAGGTCATTGTTATTATTAAAGATAAAAACAACATAACAGTGCTTTTTTTCTAAAAAAAAATGTGTCGGAATTCATCGGGAACTCATCATTAGTATATCACAAAAAATGACGACAAAGGTAACACTTTAAAGTTTTTTTTGAAAAAGTGTCGGAACGGCATTCCGGTGCGTTTGAGGAGAAAAAACACACTGCAATATTTTAACCGCAAAAACCTGTTTTGAAAGGTTACTAGTAAAAAAATTTATTCTTACCTTAATTCTATTCAACATCCTAAACTGTTGGCTAATGATCAATAAAGTAAAGTTCAAATAATGAAAATTTACTAAATTCAAACTATATTTCAACAGTAGGCAACTAAAACAAAATAATGGCAAAAGTAGACCTCAATAAATGTTAAGAAAAAAAAAAAAATTCATAAAAAATAAATTAACTCAAAGCTTTTTAACTTTTTAACAAAAACCTTATAAGATAAATATAATAAATAATAAAAGTATTCATAGCATCAAAAAAATATTATGTAAATATTCTATCAGTAATAAATAAAAATATCCTACATATACTTGGTTGATAAAGAAAATATCCACTCAAGCCAGTATTGCAAGAAACAAATTTTAGAAAACCCTTCTTTACTTAACAGCATTCATCCACATATCGAACAATTACAGCCATTTGTTCTGTTTGGCTAACATCTGGAGCTTCATCAGCTAAAATGGAAAAAAACTTTGCTTTCTTTATTCTGTCTGTCAATACCAATCGAACAACACCTGCACAAATATCAATCAACTCATTTTGCACAGTCTTTGATTGATAAGTAGCATTTTTTGGACCATTTTTAAAATGGTCACTCAAGAAAATCAAGCAGTAATCTTATTATATATATTGGGTTTTTTGTAGACAAAGTGGAAAAATTATCAAAGGATGTATAATCTTCTCAAAGCATGAATAATCTTCTATTGAACGTATGAGTGCCACCTTTTCACTATATATTTCCTAAAACTAATGCTCGTAAATGTAACTCTGTTTGGTTTAAAAAAATTTCATGGCTGTGTTATTCAAAATACTATGATAGGTTGTTCTGTATCTCTTGTGTTCTGTTTGGAAAAGCCTCTTTAACTACTCAGTTATTTAATAAATTTTCATATTGGCTTTGGTCAGGTGGAAATGTAAGATTATTATCACATAATAACACTTCTCCAATGCATAAATACAGATTACCTGATATCGATTTTTTAAATTTATCATTTAAATCCAAAGATGAATTAGACACAGACAATGGTTCATTGATCACAGAAAAAATTCTTAATATTTGATGAGGGTTTGGTCAAATTACTTTTTTGAATAGCAGAACAGTGCGGTATATGAACTAGTTGGGTATTTGAAGCGCGTTTTTCTCTGGTTACAACAAGATTTTTTGCAGAATTTAAACTTGTTTGAGCACAAACTAATATATTTTGAAATTCTGGCTGAGTGCTTTTAACAGATACCAGAGACACATAGTGATTAGGTTTGAAAAAATGCATTTTTTCCATATGTGTAAGGTTTCTTAAAGTTTCTTTTTTTGCGTCAACATTGTACAGCATCAAGTAAATTACTTGATTGGGTTTATTCAACTTCTTAAAAGTCTGTGGGTATAATGTACTTCTAAATAGATATTGTAGACAGGCATCTCCTGTAGTAGGATGAAAATTTTTTAAAGGAATCTAAAACAGAAAATAAATATGTAGACTATAATATTCATATTATAAAACAATAAAACTTATGTCAGTTTAAATGTTATATTATACAAATAAGAATATACATTTAAAATATTTGAGATAGACATCACACAAACTAAAAATGACCAAACACCAGATTGAGAAATATTTAATGTTTTAGCCAAAATAGCATCAACTTTAGACTTCTTAGCCTCAAATCCAGTATATGCAACATTGGAGATACCAAACAAAAAAGCAGATCGTTCTGAGCAAAAAACACCACTTGAATGCTTGAGACAAAAAACAGGATGCACAGCAGAAAATTTGCGTTCTTGTATAATTTAATTGCACAAAGTTTCCTAAGAGTTGGCGCTAGTGTACTTTTTTCAATTAAAGCAATGGAGATAGCAGAAAATAAAATTGCCATCTTGAGGAGTTCTGGATATAAGATTAAATTTACACGAATATGTATATATATATATATATATATATATATATATATATATATATATATATATATATATATATATATATATATATATATATATATATATATATATATATATATATATATATATATATATATATATACAGTCGACTCTCTCTCGAACACTAAGGGGACCGGAAAAAAAGTTCGAGATATCGAGAGTTCGAGATATCAAGAAAAGGGTTGAAAATAAATAAAATTGCCCGACTTTCATTAAAACAAGTTATTTTCTGACAAAAATCATAAACAACAAAAACTACAACTTTTGGAAAAAATCTGTTATCTGATATTGCTTTAAATTATCCATCTTTTCCATCTTCATTAAACCCTCAAGTTTTAGTGCTAGGGATTGTATTTCATTTCCGTATTTTGAGCTGTATAGCGAAGCATTTTGAATTGTTTCAAAAGCAATTTCTAATTGAATATCAGATGGGCGTGGCGGGGCTTCGACGTTAATAGCTTCGTCAACGCTATCTTCAACTTCTTTATCGTCGTTTTCAAAATTAGGGTCTAAAATCTGAGCAATGATTTCAGCATCAGTAGCAAGTGAACCAGTGGTTACTACATCGCAATCTTAACCAATGTAAGATTCCGCTGAGAGATCTTCTTGGACGGCACGAGGATCTAGCTCTCGCAAACGGTTAAGTTCTTCTGTCAAAAATTTAAAAGGATGATCATCATCAGCTTCTTCAATACTCTTGTTTGTTTTGCTGATACCAGCTTTTTTAAAGCAGTTGATGACAGTCTCCTTCGACACAGCATTTCACGAAGAAACAAGATCTTTCATTGCTTGAAGTATAGAATTTTTGGCATGGGTTCGTTATTATCGACAGCCTTGATACACAAACGCACAATTTTGTGAAGATAATGAGCTTTAAGACTTCGTATTACGCCTTGATCCATGGGCTGAAGGACAAATGTGGTGTTAGGGGGGAAAAATATTAGGTTGATGTTGCTTAGCCCTTCAATGTGTGGGTGGGCAGAACAGTTATCCACCAGGAGTGCTACTTTCCTGTCTTGAGCACGAAAAAATGATTCAAGTTTTATTAGCCATTCTGTAAAAAGGTCTCCGGTCATCCAACTTTTTAGCTAATTTTTATATGTGCAAGGAAGTTGTTTACTGTGCTTAAAACACCGTGGGTTTTTAGATTTTCCAATAACAAACATAGGTAATTTTTCTCCCGTTGCACTCCCTGCTGCTATGCCTGTTAGTCTGACTTTACTATTTTTTCCCCCAAAACATTTTTCTCGTGATAAATGGTATGTTTTGTTTGGTAGGCACTAGTAAAGTAGTCCAAACTCATCGGCATTGAAAATGTTTTAAAGTTTGTAATTCAAAAGCAATGTTGGAAGTGTAGTTTCATTCCACGAAGCAGTCATATTATTCGTCACGGCGGCACTTTCGCCTGAGATTATTTTAAAGCTGATGCCGTTCCTAAAAATAGGAACAGAATAATTGCCGTTCCTAAAAATAGGAAAGAAAAA